TGTCAACTGTTTCGGTATTGAAAAGCAAGTGGGGGGAAATCATTGATTAATTCAGTATGGTGTTTACTATATAAGAGTAATATGTAATGTTAATAATAATATTAATAATATTTACTTATAAATTACAATTTATATTATTTATAGTAAATTGCTTACATATATGCTATATGTAAATTTATGTATACTATATATTAAGATATATAGTAAAATTACTATATATTAACACTAATATTAAGATATATAGTAAAATTACATAAGATATTTATGACATATAATATATATTATATTTTATATATTATAATATGTATAGTGAATAGAAGGGAGGATTTCTTTCCTAAAATAATATAATAATGCACACATATAGTGCATTATAATGTGACATAATATGTGTATATATATGCTTGCCATAATAAAATTTGATGCAAACAGAGCTAATGTCTATGAATAAGGTAGTATTGGGTCTCAAGTTCATCAGCCCAGTTCTCTTAAATAGAGCTCATTCCTAGAGAATATCTGGTAAATTTCAAATATGGAAGAAAAGAGAAGTCTCATGTAAAAGTGTATATGAGTAATTTTTGGTTCTTATTGCTGTCTATCTCTTTCTCTCTCTTTTTTTTAAAGAAAGCCAGATCTTTCTTATTATTCACAAACACAGTCATTTCTAGTCCTTAAATGACTTACTGGAATCAGGAATTTGACATCTTGTTCATATAAAGATTCAGAACTGTCAAAGGGATATATCAATATTACCAGATGCTAAAAAGACTGGAAAATGAATCTTACCCAAGCAATACACAAGAATATAGCAATTTCAGCTCAGAAACACAAAACACGTGCTAAAAATAAAAGAACATAGAGATCAATCCTTAATAATATCCTAAAAGGGAAAAAAAAAGATAATTACCAGATATTACAATACTCCAAATAAAAACAAAGAAGAGTTTGGGAGTCCAGTTTATAATTTAACTCTGTGGTCCTTAAACCTACAGGGAGGAAACTGAAGCTCTTCTGAAAAGGGCCAGAGGCAACAAAAAGAATTGTTGAACTCATTTTGACCCAAATCCCCGGACATCACCAGTCTCTGCATACAAATGCATACACCCTAACAGGAATATGCAAATGACACTGGCTCTGAGTCTTCACCCAGAAGGCAGAACCTCATCCCCTGGCATTTCCCAGGAGATGCCTCACTCACGCTCACAGTTCATTCCAGCAGCCTCACTCCGTGCCCAGCCTTTGCCCTGTTCCGCACCGGCACTGGCCCCATTTCCTCTGCTTACAGAGATGCCTTGGAGAAGCTCTGTGCTGTACTGTGTGGAACCGCCATTGGGAAAGTCTGATAAAGGTGCCACAGGGTACCACCTCCCCTGTCCCACCCCCACTGGATTCACTATTACAACACTTTGTTTTTATCTTTGTACCTCTGATGATTCAAAGTATAAGTCATGATAGAGCCTTCATGTCATTCCTGTCCTGATTGAGCTTCTTCTCTAACACCTAGCCCAATGCTTGGCACATATGAGGTACCCAATAAGTATTATAAATGATCAATAAAATATTATAAACATTTTTCCTACAGGGAAGTCCCGAAATTTTGGCTGCTCAAAGTTCTCTCATAACAATACTAAAATGGTCCTTCCTATGTCCAGGCAATTTGCCTGGGACTTCATATATGTTAACTCATTGCTTCCCATCAAACCCTCTCGAAAAAGGTACACTTCCATTTTCCCCCACTTATAGATGAGAGAACTGAGGAAAAGAGAGGTTAAAATACTTGCCTAAGCTCATCTAAGCAGTGAACAGTAGAGCTGGGGTTTGAACCCCAATAATCTGCTTTTAGTCAGAGCTCTTACCTTCCTACTGAATCACTTCTTTCAAAAAGTCCAAGAGGTCAGGTGGAAGAATCCATCTCCCTCCTCTCTGTTCTCTCTCTGCTTCAGCTTCCTTTGCCAGAAATCATGCCGTATGAAAACAAACCCTAAAAATAATAATAATAGGAATAATAATAACATCCCATCTTCCTCCCTACCTTGCTCTCTTCCTTCCTCCCTTCCACTCTTCCCTCCTAAGTTTCATGGCACACCCACACCTACCATGTCAGGCCCACACCAGTTACCAGAGCCACAAAGCTGACTAAGAACTAGTCCTTTCCACAGAATCACAGTCTAGTAGAAAAGCAGAGGGGCCAACAGCATTAACGACTTAACCTAAATAAACAAAACTCAGTGGAAGCGTCTGGTAAACCTCAATGCAGATAATGTTGGCAGAAAGAGACAGAGGCCAGCAGAAAACTGAGTTCATGAACAAATTGTGGGGGGGGGGGAAGAAGGTCAAGTCCATGTCAAGACTGACTACTGGCTCTTGAGGATGCCACTGTGAAGTGTGGTCCATAAGCTCACAGGCAGAGTATAAATTCCTGCCAGATGTTCCTAAGAAATAAGTAAAAAGAAAGTGGCAAAACTGCGAGGTTTCAAGTAAATCTCATTAGGCTGTACAGAGAGGACCAGAAGAGAGAAGAATGGATCACATAAGCAAATAACTGAAGGAGAGGAAATTTTGCATTTCACTAAGCTGTGTAATTTATCATTTTCCAGAAAAATCTTTTAAGGGCAACATTAAAGATTCTATTTTGGTCTGGTATTTCTTTAGTGGCATTTGTTTTGTGCCTGGGTTTACATCTTAAGAGAAAGGCCATAAGACACATGTGAGAGGGGTCTGTTCACGGAATAGAGAAATCTGGAAATACACTCTCCCTACCAGAGGTCAAACCAAGGCCTGGGAAACACTGGTCCGAAGGAAAATGGGAGATCCCACTTCTCACAGCTACTTTTCATTAAGGGGAGGAAGTGTAATGTCATAGAGCAAGGTGTTTGAAATCACAAAGCCTGTTGGAGCTCACGCTATGATTTATGAGCTGTTGGACCGTGGTCAGTTATATAACCTTTAGAAATCTTAACTTTTACCATCTGTAAAAGGAAAGTGTTGGTATTTTCTTCATAGTTTTTGTTTTGTTTTGGTTTGGTTTTTGTAATTGTTATGTCCCAATAATGGGTCCATGATTAAAGGAGCGAGACTGATATAAAGCGAAGGTCAAGCAAAGCTTTATTTCACGCCAAGCATCAAGAATCTAACCGAACATTCGGGGACGCACCTCGTACAAGAGAGGGCAACCCTTCTCTGTTTCACAGACTAGCTTTTAAGGGCAAAGGCCATGAGGTCGGGCCTGGCTACACACAGGTGGCCAATGAAATTGTAACACACAGAGAAAGCTGCACAGTGATGCTAGGTGACCAATTGAATTACAATTTACCCTAGTAGACATTTAAACCAGCCTATCACCTTGGTCAGAACTGGTGCCCAAAAGGTGCCCAAAGGGCAGGGCCCATACTCCTTGGTAACTAGGGAGACAGTATGCATCCCGCTACTGATCGGATGTCTCCACCTGGCCTGACCCACCCTTGTATCTGGGTTTTGTTACCTGGAGCTGGTTTCCGGCACTTATTTTTAAGTAAATCCCCTGGGGGAAGGGGAGCAGGGACAGTTTAACTTTAATGAGAGCCTCTTGCTAAATAGGTCCTTACAGTAATGATTACATGAGATTTTGCCTGTAAGTAGACTTCCAGGTGCCCCATCCATAGTAATGTCAGCTATCCTTGGTTGCGGTAGTGATGGTGGTTGTAGAAATGAAGGTATGTGGAAGGGAAAGGGGTGGTCCTTTACTGTTTATTTCCACTGCAACTGTCTTCAACTCTCTATTTAAATAAGTATAATAATTCACTCTAACTAAAAAAAAAAAAAAAAAAAAAGAATTAATAATCTGGGACCCTTCAGACATAAGTGCATTCTCCAATGCCCCTTTATGTCAAAATGCCAACCCATATATCTGTCTTTGGCAAGATTTGTGGGAGTTGCTTCCCATAATATTGATTTAAAAGCTTTGACAACATGGCCCAAATATTTCCAATCTCTTCTTAATAAGGTTAGGCACTATATTTAAACCCTTCCTGAATCCATTGATATTTTATGCTTGTTGGGGTAAGGCTTACTTAATGTTGTCTGCCTGTAAGTACATATGAAAGAAGCATTGGTTTTCAGCTCTGGGACTGTTAACTCAGGAACTTGAAGTTCTGTCTCTTGGTAAATTGATGATCACAAGTCTCCAAGAACTACTAAGACAGGGAAGGGTGTCCTTGCTGCTGGGTGTCCACACCACCTGGAATCTTCTAAGTAGCAGTCTGGTTCCCCAATCTCTACTCCCCAGTGGCTCTGGTGGCCTTGTTCCCCCACCCTCTCCCTTAAGGCACTGCTAGAAAGAGCTGCAGTGGCCACCCTCTTCATGGTCTCAAATACCAATCAGAAAGGTCATGGCAGGAAGGCATGTCAACTGCAGCATCTAATTCTGACTACATTACCCGCCCCCACCCCAAAATTACTTTGACCAAAACCATGCTGACGGGAAGGAAAAATTGAGGAATAAGCCAGATTTGAGCGAAGAAACCAAGAAGAGGGTCAACATTTTGGAGAATTCAATATCAGGGCTTCCTACGCAAGGAAGTAGAAAATTTCTTTGTGAGCAAATGCTATTAACATTCTCTTTAAATTCAGTGCTTTAACTAGACACGACACAGGGCGTTTGGCATGGACTGCATTTCCTGTCACAATTTATTTTGGAGTTAGAAAATGTTTTTACTCAAAAACTAACTGAAAGCCTACTTCTCTGCTGTCATAAATCAAGTCATCTCACCCATCTCAGTAGGACTTGGACCCTATCCAAAAGTTGCCCACAAAAAGAGAAATGAAGAGCTTTTGCAAAGGGAGGATACCTTCTGTACTAGGAAGGACTGAGGGCACATCATTTCCCAAAGGATTTGGAGAAAGTTCCTAGAGATGGCCTTTTGAGTTATCTGACAGACTTGCCCTACCCATTTCAACCTCCTTGGAGGGTCTGGTCACCATGTTGGCAGGCTAGTGGAATAAAATAAAGCAATATGATTGTTTCCATGAGTGCCAAAGCTCCTTTTTCTCGGATTCCTGAAAGCAGAAAGCACATCAGGCTTCTGTGGGATGGCTTCACAAACATAGCAGGATGGTCAACGTTGAACTTCTTGAGTCGCAGCACCTGACAGAGCTCATGGAACACAAGACACTCAGTAAACGCTTGACTGATGACATGTCACATCTGCTGTTGTTAAATTTGATTTCTGTGTGTTTCTTATTTATCTGTCAGCTTTTATTACTGTTTAGGCATATCTTCAAAGATGGTTACATTTTCCTCAAGTTCGTTTCATAGCCAAATTTTTATGAAGCCCCTGGTACCACCCCCTGGGCCTTTATGACAGCCCCATTTTATACCATTTATCACACTGTGCTGTACTGGCCTTTTGCTCAGCTCCACTACCCTTTAGAAAATGAGGGAGGACTTATTCTTGTTTATCATTGTCACCCAGTGCCTAGTGCAGCAGACATCTTTTGGAAGTGTTCAGTAAATACCTATTGCATAAACAAATTCTTATACCCAAAGTTAAAGCTTTGTGTTTCCTAAGCAGTAAACTGACATCTATCAATTCTAAGGCTCCTGAAAAAAAGGTTGTTTTCAACATGAATCAAAACTGGATTGCACAATTTGCATGAGACAAACATTTTAATGCTAATCTTTGCTTTCTATTGTGTACTATTCTCCTTCCTGCTAATTTTGCTGTCAGAGGTCTCAGAGGAGAGTGGAACATTTTAATTATGTCACCTTGGCAAAAATGTAAAACACAAACCATCATTTTTAAGCATACTCTTTTCTTCAGGTGCTGTTTTGTTTTTTTGGTTCTGTTTTGTTTTATTTAATGGCAGCCATTTCCTCTTTAAAAGTTGAGTCTAGAGTTGCTTTGAGCTTTACGGTACAAGAATACAAACTCTTTTTCAACATTCTGCAAATATTTGTTGAGTTCCTAGTATTGCAGGACACAATTCCAGGAGCTAACGAGAGAGGCAGAAAGATGGATAAAATTGCTGATCACATTGAGCTTAAATTCTAGTGAAGGGGAGATGAGCAAGAAACTAATACAGGAGAAAATGTCAGGAAATGGTCAATGTGCTAAATAAAATAAAATAAATTTATGTACAAAGTCCAAAATCCAAATGCTGCACAGGACTATTCTAGAATGGGTGGTCAGAGGGCAATCTAAGAAGGTGAAATTAATCTGAGACCTGAATGAGGACAGGAGTCAACTATTGAACCAGGGTCATTGCAGGCGGGGCGGGGGGGGGCGGTGGTTGGCAGATCCCAAACTGGGAACACACATGGCTCGGCCAAGGAACAGATCATCTTCTGTAGGCCTGCAGGTCCGCCTAGGTAAGTGCCACAGACTAAATGTTTGTATCACAAATCATACGTGGAAATCCTAACCCCCAATATGATGGTGTTAGGAGGTAGATGGAGCCTTTGGGAGGTGATCAGGCCATGAGGTTAAAGCCCTCATCAATGGGATCCTGCTCTTATAAAAGAAACCCCAGAAAGCTTCCTCACCCCTTCCACCAGTGTGAGGACATAGCCAGATGATGGGCCATCTGTGAACCAGGAAATGGGCTCTCACCAGACAAATCGGCTATCATCTTGGACTTGGATTTTCCAGCCTACTGAACTATGAGAAATAAATTTCTACTGTTTATAAGCCACCCAGTGCATGGTGTTCTGCTAGAGCACCCACACTGATTAAGAGAGTAACCCTATAACCCCATGGAGCAGACCCTCAGGTCTCCCTCTATGCTTGAAAGAAAGCCTGGCTCCACCAAAGACACTGTGACAAGAAAGATGGATCAAATCCACCAAGTCAAGCTATCACACAGCTACATTTTGAAAGGCATTGGCATCAACCAAACTTACTATCCCCCTAAGATCATCAGATCATCTACAACCTTCTGCTTTCTGTTCCTGGAAACTTAATGCTAGAATAACCATCTTCTTTCACTCTCTGTGTGTTTCGCGCGCGCGCACACACACACACAGGTTCAGAATCCTCATGATGTTCTTTGAGGATCTGACTACATTTCTGTTAAATTATTTGTTTATGCTCCACAATTTACATAGCAGAGAAGCAAAGTGGTCCCTAAGTTCCCTGCTCACACACATGCACACATGCCTGCTCTACATATTTATACTAAATTAAACCCTTTACCTCCAGTCAGTCTAACCAGGAGTTTTTCTCACAAAGGGATTTTTCTGGGAGGTGGGTGGCTGGTCTGTGGCCCTGAAAACGAGCAGAAGAGGCTCATGCGACCCGTGCCAGCCCTCAGAGAAACACAGAACCCCCAGATTTTAGTATTACTAAGCAGGTTAAGTCTCTGCTTCCCACCTACAAAGCCCATGCAGGGCTTTCGCCTTGAAATTCTGTTTTAAATAAAGAGTTCATCCACATGTATAAAATACATGAACTATTGGTGGTACTTTTCCTCATTTTCTCCTTTCATCTTTGTAGTAATCTCTTGAGGGAGGTGTCTTGTAGAACAGTTAAGGGTGGCCCAGGCAAAATTACCTCTGGTCACACAGCTGATTTGTTCTGCTGGGATCTGAGTTGAGAGTTCAGGAAATCCAGTTCTTTTTTCTTCAGCCCTGCAACACAAGCTCCTGACAGCCTTGTCTAGGCTCCCACATGGGCCCTGTTTCTTTAGGTCCAGGGGAACGGCAGTTTGATTTTTGGGTTTGGGGCAAGGGGAGGTTTCTTGCGCTGAAATTGCTGTAATTTGATTCCTAAGAAATTTCTTGACTCATTGAAAACAGACAATAGGTGACAAGAGGGTGAGAGAGAGTAGAGGTGGAGGTGGGGAGGACCAGAGAGAGAAGAAGAAAAGGAAAGCTCACATTTATGGAGCTCCTGCTACTTTCCAGATGCTGAGCAGGGTTCTTTACATGTAAGGGATCTCCTTAAAATTCTCCACCTCCCAGCCCTTGCCTCCTGGTGTAACACTGATTACCGGGAATCTGAGGTCGGCTGGCCCACGGAAAAGCCCAAATACCAACTGGAAACAACAGCCACTCAGTGATTTTATTTACTTGTTTATTTATTTTTAGTGCCTGATATTAGAACACCTGGGAAAGCAGGCTTACTGCTCTTGGGCACCTCTCTGTGGCCATTGCAAGAACATTCCAGAAAAACCATTAAGCTGCATGGCTGAGCTGCTCAAATGAACAATAAACCCTTGGCTGTCTTCTCGTCTGTCTTTTCTGCTTCGTGTCACATTAAGCATATAAATGGTTAACAGAAATGTGCTTCTTCAATATTAGTGACTGTCCTCTGAGTGCTTTCCAACATAAATATATGCCCAGAGGCTTTGGAACCACAGAGGTCTGAGCCACACACTGCTCTGCCTGCCAGATAGCTGCTGTCCCACAAGCTCATTGGTCTGCATCTCAGTTTCTTTGTCTGTCAACCGGGCCAACAACCCCTATCCTTTGGGGATGTTGTGGAGATTAGATGAGATGACCCACGTGGAAGTATCCAAGTCCTTCCGTGGTTAAAAAATGTTGGCTCCTTTTCTCTCCCTCTCCTTTGCCCTCTACACAGCATGATTTCCACCTAAAAGTCTGACGCTGAACACTCTCAGTGTGGCTTTGTCTCTAAGCTCTGCGCAGAGTCTAAGGGAACATCACAGATCTAGGCAAAGCGAAGAAAGGGAAGGAAGTCTGGGAGAGTGGGTTAGCTTTAGGGGCCTTTCGGATGATGATTTTGATTTGGTGATCCCAAATCAAAGAGCTGAGTGAAGAGAGGCTCTTTTGGACAGGCTTTTCACAAGAGGTCCCGCCGGGAGCCTTCCGGGCTGGATGCGGACCCGGGCTTCCTTTCCCAGCGCAGAGAGCAGCTGCCTTGCTGCAGCGGCCATGTTGGAGGGCGTTCCGTGCACTCGGGTGTGCGCGAAAGGCAGCTCCTCCCCGGAGGGACCGAAAACAAAGGACAAGGTCCTTTTTCTCTGTTTGTATTTATTTTGTGGACAGCTGCAGCAAAACTCTACCTGTGGCAACCTTTCATGACAGATGTCCTTTCTGCTTTTCGCGGCAGGCATGTTTCCAAAGCAGATGCCAAACGCATGCTGTTGCCCAAAGCTTACGTATGCATAGACGTGAAGGAACTAGAGACTCCCGAGAAACCGCAAGGCCGGAAAACCAGGACCCAGCTGGTTCTCCTGTCTGGTAGGGAAGGAAGGGAAGGAGCTCTTAGGGAGAGAGAGCCCTCTGTGTGTCCCCAACTCCTCTGCTTTTACCTTTGTCATCTCCTTGAAAAGGGCATGGCCTTTGGGTAACCAAAGACCTGGGTTTGAATTCTAGTTGTTATTTGGGGGCTCTGAGACCCTGGAGAAACCACTGACCTTTGCTGGGTTTCAGTTTCCACATCTGCAAAAGAAAGACCATGATTTTGTGAGGAGAAAGTATGACGACAAATGCAAAAACCCCACAGAGTTAATAAAAACATAAAAGATGCTCAATTGGTTATTTTTTTCCATTAATGGGGGAATAATATCAAATAGTAGCTTCCTAGGAAATGAATACGCTTGTGGAATATTCATATAAACCATGTTTAAAGCAATTAATAAGAAGCTTATATGCAGTAAAATATATTTAAAAATGAACCCCAAAATGTTGATTATTTCTGGGTCACAAAATCTAAGGGAATTTTTATTGCTTTATTTATAGTTACTTGTGTTTTTCTAATTTTTTGGCAATAAACATGCTTTGCTTATATAAGAAAAAATAGAGCCAAAGCAGTCTCAGAATCTTAATAGTCCAGAAAAACGTTCAAGATACATTATTGTATGGGCGCCTGGGTGGCTCAATGGGTAAAGCCTCTGCCTTCGGCTGGGGTCATGATCTCGGTGTCCTGGGATGGAGCCCCATGTTGGGCTCCCTGCTCGGCGGGGAACCTGCTTTCCTCTCTCTCTCTGCCCACTGCTCTGCCTACTTGTGATCTCTCTCTCTGTCAAATAAATAAATAAAATCTTTAAAAACAAATACATTATTGTAAACAAACGTGGATGTGCACAAGACCACACTATGATAGGTGTAGATAACATGTAGAAGCTGCAGTGAGACTGTAGAATAAAACCTTTGCAATCTCTATGTGGGAAAATTGTAGTGCTTTTATCTCTCTTTCTTTCTTTTGATGCACTTTTTCTACATTTTTACATTAGTTCTTAAAGTCCTGAAAGAAGAAACAATTAAATTCTTTAAAAAGCAAACAGGAGCTCCAGTGGCGCAATCGGTTAGCGCGCGGTACTTATACAGCAAACAAAAGGAGAACAGACATTCCTGACAGTAAACAAACATGTTGCACATACAAAATAAGTTATAGAAATAAATATATGGTTTGCTAAGCCTGTAGCAACAATAGTGAATAAACAGCATATTTAATATCCTGTAATATCTCCAGATCACCTCATATCTGGCCTCAGTGCCAGCTCACATGCTTCCTCTGCCCAGAATTCTTTCCCCTCTGCCTATTCCCTCAGTACCACACTGCCTCTAGAAAAGGCTGCCGTGACTTAACTGCACTGATTTGTTCACATATCCATCCTTTCCCCCTAACCTGTAGGAACCAGGTCTCATTCATCTCTTTATCTTAATACTTAATAAACTGATTGGAACGTCATATGTGCTCAATAAATGTTGATTAACTAAATCACTTCATCTAAAATCTGCTTCATGTCTATCTTAAGGTATATTGCTATCAATGCCTGCCAGTCTTATAGTCTGGTTATTGGGAAATCTGAGGCCAAAATTACAGTTCTAAGTCTGTATTACAGAGGCGTTGTAAGATTAATCAAAGTAAAGATGATAAACTCACTTCCTAATATTGGAGCTAACCTAACAATAATTTATGAATAAAAAGCAAAGGGCCATGATCGTATCAAGACAATATATTTGCAAGGCATACCTGCCCCAAATTGACTCCCAACTATATCCGTACACATGCACGGAGGAAGAACTTATCCATGTTCTTAATTGTTGCTTGCAACTGGACTTCTTCCTGTGGTCATTCTCAATGACGGCTACACATTAGAATCACTGAAAAAAATTTTTTTATTGTGACTCCAAGTTAATGAAGACAGAATCTCTGGCAATTTAGAATTAAAATTGAGAGTTATTTGCCTTTAAAAATGGAGGAAAGAAGTTGTATTTTAAAGCAGTTACAGTCCGTTATGGGAACACTCCACCAATGTGTGATCAACAGGGTGACCCTAAAATGAACTAGAACTAGAACTAGAACTGTCCTGAACAAACCAAGACACATACTTCCCCTAGTCGTGAACCGTATTTTGAGGCTCATGCTTCTAATGGATATGATCAAGAATGAACCCAGGACCATTAGTTGTTGCCTGACTGCCAGAATCCTGGCAAATTTTGAACCAAATGAATGTCATGTCCTGGTAGTTTTGGAAAAAAATAGGGATGGGAGTTTGAGACTGGGTAGAAAACTGCCAGCTCTTTAAAAACATATCTAGCTATCTATCTATCGATAGATAGATAGATAGAAAGATATAATGCAGATACTAGAAGTAAAATATGCCAGTGTATTTTCTGCTTCTGTCCAAGAAGGTGGCTCCCCAAACATCTGATATCAGGCATGGAGTGCTCCAAGGTCACTCAAACCTCCATTTTCATCTCGTGCCTATGATGCTACTTTCCTCTACAAGCTGGTCAGGATTACCGCTCTCCCTAGCCTCCCAGTTCCTACAGATCTTTTCTATGATAAAAATCTGACCCAGAATAAAAAATGTTGCATATTTATTTATTTATTTATTTATTTATTTTTAAGATTTTATTTATTTATTTGAGAGAGAGAGCAAGAATGGGAGAGAAAGTATGAGAGGGGAGAGGTCAGAAGGAGAAGCAGGCTCCCTGCTGAGCAGGGAACCTGATGTGGGACTCAATCCTGGGACTCCAGGATCATGACCTGAGTCGAAGGCAGTCACTCAACCAACTGAGCCACCCAGGCGCCAAAAATGTTGCACATTTATGATGATAAGAATAGAAAATATTAGAGAGAGAATCAAAGAATAAAGGCAGCTGTGGATATTGGAATGGGTACTGAGTCAACATACCTGGGTTGAAACCACATGACTCCAACCAAACTCCATTGCAGTCTGACCCCCTGTTGTGTGGGGGGTTTGTAAGAAACAAAGAAAATAAGCAATTGAAAATGTCTTTGATTCATGGTTAACTTGCTGACCGTGGTGCTGTGCATGTTGTCTGAGGTGGAATTATTAGACGCCAGTGATTGCACGATGACACAGGTAGCCACCAGTGCACATGAAAGCCAAGTACCTAAATAACTGTCAAAGGCAATTTTTCTAAAGGTCGATGTGGTTAACGTTATTTTCTCTATATTTAGATTTATTTCTGTCATCTTTGCTTTCTATTAACCATGATTTTTGTGAGCTGTATTTATTTTTCTTCTTTTTCATTGAATAATCCACTTCCCCCCCCGACCATGTCTGAAAGTAGGACATTCTATTTCCATTCTTTTCTGGTTATTTGTCTATTTTCCATGTGTACATAACTTTTCAAAATCTAACTTTAATTGTTATCTTTACCTTCACGGAGAGCATGAAGAGTTTAGAAGAATAGTTTTATCTCTACTCCATTCCTTCCCCACCTACATTCCACAGAGTAGGGTTGTAAATATTTCATTGATATTTGGATTTATAGCTCCTTATTATTCATTGTTATCACTGTCATAATTATCACTATTATTATTGTCCTACAACCAATGCGTCTTTCAGTTTACTCATGTGTTTACTGTTTCTCTGTTCAGCATTTCTTACATCTCTCCTCAATTCAATCTCTTTTATAGAACATGTGGACTTTTTTTCAGTGATGGTTTGTTAATGGCAAATACCCGACACTTGCTTGTCTAAAAATATCTTTTTTTCTACCCATATTCCTTAAAGACACTTCAGCTACATATAGAATTCAAACTTGACTGTTATTTTCTATTCGTATTTTTAAAATATTATTTCACTGTTTTCTTCTATCTTTGTTATTGATTATTTCTGCAAGTTTCCAGTGGACATGTCAGTTATACAACTAATATGGAGGATGGCTTTGCAATATCTTCCAAAATTACAAACCCATTACTTTCAGCAAGCCATTTCACTGCAAGGACTTTATCCTATGGAAGTACTCACTAGAATGATCTTTGAGGGATGCCTGAGTGGCTCAGTAGGTTGTGTCTGCCTTTGGCTCAGGTCATGATCCCAGGGTCCTGGGATCAAGCCCCACATCGGGCTTCTTGCTCAGTGGGAAGCCTGCTTCTCCCTCTGCCTGCCACTCCCCCTGCTTGTTCTTGCTCTCTTTCTCTGACAAATAAATAAATAAATAAAATCTTTAAAAAATTAGAATAATCTTTGAACATCATTATATTGTTCAAAACTTTCCAATAGCTTCTTTCCACACTGAAAGTAAACATCAAAGCTCTTGCACAAGCTTACCTTGCCCTGGGATATCAACCTCCTTGCTATCCTTTACCTCAGCTCCTATCACGCCCTTCCTCCCTAGCTTCTCCCCACCTTAGGGCTTTTGAGTTGGTTTCTATCTGAAAACTACTCACCAAGATATCTACATGGCTCATTCCCTCATCTCTTCAGGAAGCTCCCTCATAGCCCTACATAAAATAGCTGCCGTCATCACCAGAATTCAATCTCTATCCCTTACCTTGCTTTATTTTTCTCAATAGAACTTGACATTTGACATACAATATAGTTATTTGTTCATCTGTTATTTGTTCTGCCAGTTTTATTACGAATTCCTTGGAAGGATAAGAAATTTGTCTTATTTGTTGTTATACTATAGGTCCTAAAACAGTGCCTGGCATATAACAAGAATTATGCATTATGTGAATGAAATCATATACTTGTGAATAAGCAAAATGTTATACATATGATTTTTTTTTTTTGGATAATTCTTTGTAGTAGCAAAAAAAGAAAGAAAGAAAGAAAGAAAGAAAGAAAGAAAGAAAGAAAGAAAGAAAGAAAGAAAGAAAGAGAAACAAAGAAAGAAACAACCTGAATCTCCATCAAAATCATCTGGGTAAATTACTGCCACATCTGTACACCAGAATACAGTGAAATACTTTTTCATTTTTACTTATTCCCTTTATTCTTTTCCTTTTCTTTCTCCTTCTAGGCTGTTGTTAAATAATGTGTTCATATATCTCTTTCCATTTATCAATATTCTTTTCAGCTGTATTTAACCTGATGTTTAACCCAATTGTTGAATATTATATTCATATACTGTATTTTTCATTTTCATCTGTAGAAGTTCCATTTGGTTTTTTTTGCAAATCTTCTACTCATCATTACATAATAATCTTGACGTTTACTTATGTCTTTGGTTTC